CCCTCTAATCTTTCAGAACACACCTTTTGCCTTTCCTAGGCAGTTAATCAGGAGTTGGTGAGCAGCTGAGCAAACATATATTCTGGGAGAAATTGGTGGTCAGAGTGGAGTGGAGGTATAGGGTTAGTCTGGCAGGGGGTTATTGTTTCACATTCAGACTCCAGCTACTCTCTGGTAGCATAGGCAGACACAAGATGCTGTCATACTGCTAGTAAATTTTGTCTCCTTCATGAGCTTGTATAGCTCCCCAGGAGACTGGCTTTTGATTGTATGTGTGGAAGGGTTAATGTTACAGTGAATTGCTTTACATATACGTTCAGCATGTGTAATGGTGCTAATCTTTCAGCCCCCATTCCTCCCCCAATCCCCATTCAATATCTCAAGGAAATGCTGCCCATGGATTTAGTAAAGTGGGGATTAAGAATTAACTGTTGGATTTAGCAATGTGGAAATTGGTGACCTTGATAAGAGTAGCTTCATTGGAGTAGTGGGGGCCAAAAACTGATTGAGATGGGGTCAAAAGATTAGACGCAACTCTTTTGAAGAGCAAAAGTGGAGTAGAGAACTTCAGTTGAGATGGAGAAATACATGGGATTAAGACTGGATTTTTTTTTCTAATAGAAGAAATTACAATAAATTTGTAAGGTGGTAAGAATGGTCCATTGAGGGGAAAACTGATGAAACAGAAGAGAGAGGGAGGAGGATATAGGAAAGAGAGATAGAAGAACTGAACATATTCTTGATGTGCTAGAGCCAATTGCTATTATAAATATTAAATCATATGTTTATAATTGAATTATATTAAAAACAAAATAGTAACTATTCAAAGCTCATCCCTTCCTAATTATGTTTCTACATTTTACCATTACCTGTGTTCTCCTGGTTAATTATATCTCTTGTGTCTGCATGGTGGAAGTACTTTATAATAGTTTTATCCAACTCCAAGTTAAGTGACATCACACTGGTAGCTAGAAATTGATTACCACAGAAATTAGCATCTCTTAGAAAGCAGAGCCTTGTTTTTTTTAAAGGAGAACTGTTTAACATTTACTAGGTTGTCTGGGTGATGCAAACAGTTCAACTACTAACCTAAAGACTGATGGTTTGAACCTACCTAGTGGCACCATGGAAGAAAGGTCTAGAGATGTGCTTCTCTAAAGATTACAGCTGAGAAAACCCAATGGAGCAGTTCTACTCTGTTACACATAGGGTCACCATGAGTCACAATTCACCTGATGGCAATAGAATGTTTTTTTTTTTTTTTTTTTTTGGTTTAACATTTGCTAGCCCACCACTGGCATAAGTGGACAAGTGGGGAGAGTGACCCTAAACCAAGTACTGACAATTAGGAACATAAAGAAGGCAAAATATTTGCATGGGTGGGTTAGATAGATGTGGTGGAGTTCTGTTTCCTATGTACTAAGTGAAAAAGAAAGGAAGGTAATTACCTGAGAATAAGAATGGGAAAGGAAATGTTGGAGGTTTGAGGTGAGAGGTATGCGGGAGAGTGAGTAAGTGGATTAGAAAAATGTAGTGTATTTGCCTGACATGATCAAAGGGCCTCTTGAGGTTAGTGGTTATGAACTAAAAGGAGACCAGACACAAAGGATGTACATTTTCCTCTAACTTCTTTCAGCTGCTTGGGTGAGGCAGTGAATAAGTGGAAAGCTGGATTTATCCAAGGCCAGACAGGAATTTTGGTGGTGCTGTGGCTAAAACATTCAGCTGCTAATCAAAAGATCAACAGTTTGAACCCACTAGCTGCTCCATGGGAGAAAGATGAGCAATCTGTTTCTGTAAAGATTTACAGCCTTGAAAACACTGTGGAGCAGTTCTCCTCTGCCTTATAGGGTCATGATGAGTCGAAATGAACTCGATGGCAGTGGGTTTTGCTTTAGGGTTGCCAGGTTAATATGACTTTGTGTGGGAGGGGCAAAAGAGATCATGAGATTATAAATGTAAAAGTTACCACCTCAGAGAGACCTCTCTTATCCACCCCAGACAAAATTATGCACTTCTCCAGAAACTGATGGAATATCAATTGAGATGTTTCAAGAAACACATGCAATGTCAGAAGTACTCACTTGTCTATGCCAAGAAATTTGGAAGACACTTATGTGGCAAACCATACCTGTGCCCATTCCAAAGAAAAGTGATCAACTGAATATAGAAATTATATCAATTAATATCATTAATATCACATGCAAGTAAACTTTTGCTAAAGATAATTTAAAAAAGTTGCAACAATGTATTGACAGGGAACTGTCAGAAATTCAAGGCAGATTCAGAAGAGGGTGTGGAACAAGGGATATCATTGCTGATGTCATATGGATCTTGGCTGAAAGCAGAGAATAGCAGAAAGATGTTTACCTTTTATTGACTATGCAAAGACATTCAACTATGTGGATCATGACAAATTATGGATAACATTCTAAGAATGGGAATTGCAGAACAGTTAATTGTACTCCTGAGGAACCTGTACATAGACAAAGAGGCTGTTGTTCAAACAGACAAAGAGGTACTAAAGAAAAAAAAAAGACCCACTCCACTGAATTGATTTTGACTCATAGCAATCCTATAGGACAGTGTAGAATGGCCCCTCAGGGTTTCTAAGGTTATAAATCTTTACAGAAGCAGACTACCTCATCTTTCTCTCATGGAGTGGCTGGTGGGTTCAAACTGCTGACATTTTATTTAGCAGACAAATGCTTTAATGACTGGGCCACCAGAGCTCCTTAGGTTGTACTGTGTGGTTTCAAATCAGGAAAGCTGTGCATCAGGTTTATATCCTTTCACCATACTTATTCAATCTGTATATGATGAGCAAATAATCTAAAAAGATGGACTATATAAAGAAAAAATGCAGCAACAGGATTGGAGGAAGACTCATTAACAACTTGTCGATGATGAAACCTTGCTTATTAAAAGTGAAGAAGACTTGAAGCACTTACTGATGAAGATCAAAGACTATAGTCTTCACTATGGATCACACCTCAATATAATGAAAACAAAAATCCTCACAACTGGATCAATAAGCAACATCATGAAAAATGGAGAAAAGATTGAAGTTGTCAAGGATTTCATCTTACTCAGATCGATAATCAATGCCCATAGAAGTAGCAGTCAAGAAATCAACTGTTGTACTACACTGGGAAAATCTGCTGCAAAAGACTTCTTTAAAATGTTAAAAAGCAATGATACTACCTTCAGGATTAAGATGCACCTGACCCACGCAGTGGTGTTTTCAATTGCTTCATATGCATGTGAAAGCTGGACAGTGTAACAAGTCCAGACAGAAAATTGGTGCCTTTTATTTATGGTGTTGATGAGGAATATTGACTATTCCTCATGGACTACCAAAAAACAAAAACAGAAAAACAAACAAATGTCTTAGAAGAAGTACAATCAGGATGCTCTTTAGAAGTGAGGAAGGTGAGACTTTGCTTCACATAGTTTGCATATATTATCAGGAGGGACCAGTCCCTGGAGAAGGACATCAAGCACCCTTGGTGAACTAGAGGGTCAGTGAAAAGAAGAAGACCTTCAATGAGATGGATTGAGACCATGGCTGCAACAATGGGCTCAAAGATAACAATATTGTGAGAATGACCTAGAACTGGGCAGCATTTTTTTTTCTGTTTACAACAGGGCTATGAGTTAGAACTGACCCGATGACACTTAACAACAACAGGGTTGCCTGATCAAGCTCACTTTGTGTGGGAGAGGCATGGGAGATTATGATTGTGAATGTAAATATCACCACCTCACAGAGGTCTTTCTTATCCACCCTAGATAAAACCATGCCCTAATCCCTTAATTTTAACTCATTATCTTGTTTATTATCCTATTTTGTTTATTGGGTGTTAAATCATCTAGTTCATCCACCCTACATCAGAGCAGGGACCCTACCTGTTCACTGTTTAATCTGCAACTCCTAACAGAGTTTGGCACAGTACCAAAACAAACCAACCAACCAAACAAACCAAACTTACTGCCGAGGAGTCAGATCTGACTCTTAGCGACCCCTGACCCCTTCTTGGGTTTCTGAGGCGGTATCACTATGGAAGTAGATTGCCCAACCATCCTTCTGAGGAATGATTGGTGGCTTTGAACCGCCAGCCTCCTGGTTAGCAGTCAAATGCCTTAGGCACTAAGCCACCAGAGCTCCCCTGGCACATAGTAGGTGCTCAGTAATATGTTCAACAGTTTATTGACTTCTAGGTAAAGAATACTCAAATACTGTTTGTATCCTTTTGTTTTTTCCTGGTGTTTAACTTTAGTGAGTAAAGAAATTTCCCTAGAGGTAGATACACTAAACCACGGTTCTTTATCCTGGACACTTCTAGGGCATATGGTCACTTTTTATTGTCCTTCAGACCCAACCCCAAGCCTCAGAAGCAGCTAGCTTCCCTAGTCGGGTGAGTAATGCAGACACTGGCCTTTGTCACACTGTATTTACTTACACTGAGAGAAGGGTTATATTACAACCCCTGAACTTTGAGGGCGGATAGTTTATGTATTTATTATTTGTTTTAGTGCTGCCAATAGCAGTTTAGGGCTTATTCTGTGGCGTCAGGGTAGGTGATGACATTTAAGTACATGGCCCAAATTCCAAGGCTCCCAAGGAAGAGCTGCAGAGAAACTTCAATTTGCAGGCGTGGTTGGGAAAGGAGCTGGAGAGGGGGCCAGGACCGCGCACAATTTCCTTCTCTGTCTAGCGAGCCCTGGGGAGCGCTTCCGCCCGGATGAGGAGCTATGTGTGCCACTCGCCTTGCAGTCCACCAACAACTTTGTCCAAACAGGGCGGGGTGCGGGACCAACTGTTTGTTTATTCGAGTGGACAATAAAGTTTCCAAAGTTTGAAAGAGCAGGAAAAAAAAAAAAAAACACCACGCCCCTTTAGCTGTTCTGGGGTGGACGCCTGCGGGACAGAGACAGAGCTCCCTCCGCCCTGGGTTCTCGGAGGCGTGGCCGGCGCGCGGGGGCCGCGGAGTGCTGGGATGGGGGTCACACTGGATGTGCACCAGGTGTATAAGTATCCCTTCGAGCAGGTGGTCGCCAGCTTCCTCCGAAAGGTACCCCACCCCACCCCACCCCACCACAGGCCCTTCTCGGGCTTGGGGCTCGGGTTTTCGGCGCGCTAGCCCTGCTGTCCCAGCTGTCTGCTTTCTAGCGCGCCGGCTCCTGCAGGTCTATCCTCTCTTCTCCGACCATGCGAAAATCCCTACCGACGTCCTCTTCTCCAGTTTCGGGGTTCACCTTAGGGATGCGTGGGGCGAGGGTGGAAGTGAATTTCCTCGAAAGCTCCCAGTCTGGGATGAGAGACAAGGCACCGTGCGTGACATCACGTTCGCATCTAGCTCCAGCTGAAGGGAGAGGTTTTTGGGGAAACCCTTGCGGGACCAAGGGCCGGCAAGTTCTCGAGCCTTTTTGGGGTTGCAGATGATTCTTGGGTCTTTCTAATACATTTTGACTCCTTAAAAGCTAGTACAGGAGGTTAAAGCCATCTTCCTAGTTTATTCAGAATTATTATTCCACTGCTTCACCATTTTTCTCTTATTAAACAGCTGTGGCACTTTGAGCCTGCTGCTTAACTTCTCTGTGCTTTACTTTTTGTAATCTGTAGTATGAGGAACATAGTACCAACTCATAGGGTTTTTGTGAGGATTCAAGGGAGATAAGCATGTAAAGTGCTTATCATAATGTGCTCTAAAATATTACTGTTGTTATTCATGCTACTGCAGCTGTGGACCCTAGCCTCTGTATTCAGTATCCCTCTTTCATCCCAAGAGCTGCTTCTAGGGGGATGGCCTGAGGCATTAGGAGAATGGGAAATTTCTTTGAAAATCAAAAGCAAACAAGCCTGGGAGGTGAGATGACTAGACTCTGCTCGGGCTTTGCCTTAAGTTCATATTGATCTTGGCCAAGAGTCATCTTTTCTCTAGGCCTCAGTTTCCACATCTGTATGATGAAGGTGTTATACCAGAAGTCTTTTAGGTTTCCTTTCAGCTTTCACATTCTTAATCGAGATTGCTAAAATTGCAGTTTGCCTACAGTAACAGACTCTGGACAACACATTCCACAGATGCAAGCTGGAAGCAAAACTAAAGGAGAAACTGGGGGAGGAAGGCCATTTCTTAAGTGGTAAAGCCTAACCTCCATTAGAGGAGGTGACACAGTTGGGTGTCCAACTTACAGAAGTGTGAGTAGGACTCTGGTTTACATAGTGTAGCTACTATGGAGACCTTTTGTGGTCTGGATGTCAGCTCCGTGAATACCTAGAACAGTTTCTAGTGCCTACTGCATACTCAGGAAGAATCTGATGAATGAATGAATAAATGAATTATGGACCTGAAATAGATTTTGCCTTAGGTCAGGATTCTGTTGTTGTTATTGTTATGTGTCATGAGATGGTTCTATCTCATCCCCTGTGTACAACAGGGTGAAATACTGCCTAGTCCAATGCCATCCTCACAGCCATTGCTATCTTTGAGCCCATAGTTGAAGCCGCTGTATCTGTCCATTTCACTGAGGGTCTTTTGTTTTTTTCTGACCCTCTAGCTTACCAAGCATCATGTCCTTCTCCAAGGATTGGTCCCTCCTGATATTCAAAATATGAGAGATGAAGTCTCATCATTCTCACTTCTAAGGAGCATTCTTGATGTACTTCTTGCAGGACAGATTTGTTCATTCTTCTGGCAGTCTAGGGTGTCTTTAATATTTTTCACCAACACCATAATTCAAATGTATCCATACTTCTTTGGTCTTCCTTATTTATAGTCCAGCTTTTTCATGCAAATAAGAATACATTAAAGAAGTCTTTTGCAGCAGATTTGCCCAATGCAGTGTGTTGTTTGTTTTCTTGACTGCAGCTTCTCTGGGCATTGATTGTGGATTTGAGTAAAATGAAATCCTTGACAACTTCGGTCTTTTCTCCATTTATCATGATGTTGCTTACTGGTCCAGTTGTGAGGATTTTTGTTTTCTTTATGTTAAGGTGTACTCTTTGATCTTCATCCATAAGTGCTTCAAGTCTTCTTTGCTTTCAGCAAGCAACGTTGTGTAATTTGTGTATCACAGGTTGTTATGAGTTTTCCTTCAATCCTGATGCTGTGTTTTTCTTTATGTAGTCCAGCTTCTTGGATTATTTGTTCATCATACATAGGAATACATTTTGCGTTAGGTCAGGCTTCTAGGCCTTCAAAAGAAACACTTCTTGTTCCATGTTTTGCTGGGACTGACACTTTGGAATGTGGGTCCTCCAGCCACTACAGCTTTGGAAGCCGTTCTGGGTTGCCCTCGTTAGGACCTCATCTCCACCTTCTCAGAACTCCCAGGTCTAAGCTTTGCTGACCATCTTTTATAGCGTGGTAGAGTTACTTCTGTACATGTCTTGTTTCCCCATTAGAATCTAAACTTCATCAGGGCAAGACTCACTCCTGCGGAAGCACAGAGCATAATACAGCACTTGCCATGTGTCAGCTCAGCTTCTGGGCCAAGTGCTTTTCTTTCATTCAAGAAATGTGTTTAAACTAACCCCCCCAGGTGCCAGGCTCTGTTCTACATGCTAGAAGTACGGTGGTAGGCACACCAGACCAACCTTCTTCTCATGGAGCTGATGGCCTCTATAATGGGTGAGCCTGACATTAATACATTATCAACAGATGAACACATAACTCCAATTGATGATGTGTACTTGAAAGGGAAAATACATGTTACTGTAGGAGCTCTGGTGGTGTAGTGCCTAAGGCATTTGACTGCTAACCAGAAGGCTGGCGGTTCAAACCCACCAGCCACTCCTCGGAAGGAAGATTGGCCAATCTACTTCCATAGTTATACTGCCTCAGAAACCCAAGGAGGGGTTGCTATGAATCAGGACTTACTCAATGGCAGTGAGTTTGGTTTTGGTTTGATTATTACTGTGACTGAGTAAAGCAGGGGACCTCCTGAAGTCCATGAACACTGGTCATTAGGAAAGTTTTACCAGAACAAGTAACATTTGTGAGATGATGGCTGGCACATAAATAGGAGATTCCTAGGCAAGCAATAAACACTGTCATGTTTATTGCTCCCAGGAGCCTCAGCAGGTAGTAATGATTGACTTCCATTTCACAACCTGGAAAAACTGAGGTTCAGAGAAATTTAGGCAGCTTTTCTAAGCTCCTACAGCTAGCTACTTGGAGAGCCAGGATTTTAACACAAGTCTGAATCCAAAGTCCACACCCCTAATCCCCAGGCTGTACTGACTTGCTCAAAACAGGTGCTCAGATATTTGTTGAATGAATAAAATGTTCCAGTTAGCTTTGTTGTGCTCTTTATCTAATCTCGTAATCTTGTCTCAGACATTTCTTACCTGAGTGGACCCAGTATGCTTGAAATAAGTAAATAGCTTCCATGTGCCTTAAGGTGAAAAAATACAGTGTTTCAATTATGTGTTGCTATGTAACAAATCCCTCCAAAGCTTGGTGTTGAAAACCAACAGCAGTCTTCTAATTCTCACCACTCTATGGCTAAAATGGACAGTTTTTGTGCCCCAAGTAGTATAGTTTAGGTAACTATCTAGTTGTGTTCAGTTAAGATCTAGTATAAATTCTTGTAAACACTTAGTGCCTCATACATAGTAAGTGTGCTTTAGATTAGAAACTAGTACACAGACTTGCTCTAAGAACTGAGAACAACATTTTAAAAGACAGGGCTGGAGAAGGAGGTGTGCATCCCAGACTGAAGTCCTAGTGATGGGACAGTATTAACACCATGGGTGACATTACACTTCTGTGCTCCTATTCACAAAACAACCTGTGCTTGGGTGATCTCTGGGTGGGGCTGTGTATCAGATGTCAATAAATAAATCCATTTACTGTGATCATTTTAATCTTTTGTTATTTAAATCCATAAACTGAAAGTCAGTATACCTCAATTCTAATCACTGTGCTTTCACTGTCAGGTTATGTGGCCTTGGGAACCAGCTTCCACTTGCTTTTATTGTACCTTTGTGCAATTTGATTAAGGTTCCATCTTGGAGATTTTGATGAATTGAGTTCCTTTATGTGGCCTCTTGCCTTGGTTCTTTAGAAAATAGCTTGAGATATTTTCCTCCTAAGTTCTCAGGAGTTATTTTTGCCCCAGTTTTTTTACCCCAGAGGGTTTGTTTTCTTTTTCTGGGTCCATTAACATTTCCTGGGAAAACTGTAAACAACTTTTGATGGTTTGCTACTTTTTGTTTGGCCCTGGGCTGCAGCCTACCCTGTGATTGGTTTATTTTTCACACTTTGCAGGGATTGGTCAATATACTTATGCAAATCAAGTGACTATACCTGCTATGCAAATGAAGTGACTGTGGCCAACAAGAAGGGATTGGTCAGTTCATGGCCCTGGTGGGAGGGTCGTGCCTTGAAATTGACCAGTGGTTTGTTGTATATGCAGTCAGCCTCACAGAGTTTGCAGACAGAAAGGAAAGAAGGAAGAAAGAAGCAGAAAGAAGAAAAGGCAAGAGAAGCAATAAGAGAGAAGAAGCAGAGAGAGAGAGAAGGTGAGGAACCTCCTAAAATTGTAACATGGGTCCACAGCTATAACACCGAAGACAGTGAGAGGCCTGGAAGGGGCCCTTTGGCAGAATTGGCAGTGATACCCCCAGAAGGGGCCCTGTGACAGTTTCTCCTGACAGCGGAAACCTTCTGGTAGGAATGCAGCTAACAGAGCTGAACAAAACTGCTGCATTGGCTATGAGCTGGGTCAGTGAGCAGTGGAAAGGCTGATGGCAGGGGAGCTGAAGGCAGAAAGGCCTATGCTGAAGTGACCAAGAGGAAGCCTGAATGGCTGAGAGGGGGTGTGCAAGACAGAGAGAAGGGCCTACTTTCTTGTACAGCAGAGAGATCTTTTCTACACTGAAGAAAGAAGAGGTATGAGCGCCTCTTCAGGGGAGCCTTCCAGACTTTGCCTACATGTTACCTGTTCCTGATTCCAAGTTGTAGCGTGTTACTTCCTTAATAAACCATTTAATTATAAGTATGGTCTGAGAGTTCTATCTGGTCATTGTGACAAATTATCTGTAGAACCCAGCAGAGAAGTAGAGAGG